GCGTGGCCTGCGGTGCCGCGCAGAGGAGGCGGGCGCACCTGTACGGCATCCGCAATCACACCCCGCCGACTTAAATATTGTACTGGGTCCTGTGGGGTGGTGGTTGTTGTTATGTTGAGCTGGCAGCGGGAGAGCTGCAGCTCTGAGTGCGAATGTGCAGCAACCGTGAGAGATTAATAAAAAATTACCAAAATGCCACTGGGTCTGCCGTGGTCGTTTACACCACATTTATACAAAAAAGTTGCCGTTGTCTTAATTTTTTCCTTAAAAATAATACTTTTTCAAGAGTTTCCACAGGTGTTGTATCACGTTGGATCCCCCTGATTGCATAAACCCGCTCTATGCTTTTATACTGATGAAGCGTGGGGTCATGTAATTTCCTGTCTTCCCTCTACTAGAGGGGCGGCTAGATTCGATCAATGAGAAGCGTGGAACTGACAGATTCTTTGGACGTGCACCATCAGATAATCTCTCGTATCCTTGGAAACTGAACATGCGTAGGTCTAACAGCACAAAAATAGCATCATCTCTACTCGTGCTGTGAGAAACAATGGTTTGCAGACAGAAGAAAAGAAAGCTGCTCATTGTTTAATCCGAATCATCTGCCAACCAAAGTGCAGCAACATCTCACAGCTCTCTGTCATCGGACTGATTTCAGGAGCTCAGAGGATTCACAAGCTGAGCTGAAGCTGGAAAAAGATCTCATTAAAGACACTTTCTGTTCATTTTTAGTGAGTTTGCATTTGTGTGTTGGATCCTATTTTGCTTCCGGACTGTATTTCTAATGTCTGACCTTTCATTTTGACGCCGTTCTCCTGGTGGTGCTGATCCTTGATGGTCATGTTGGCTAAGGAGCTGCTCATGGTGTCTCCAGAACTGTAGCTGTTCGCGTTGTTCACGTACTCCATTGCCAGTCGCGGGTCGGGCTGCAGGAAGAAAAAAGCACATTAATGAAGTACTGAAGGTCCAGGGTGTGTCACGTTACACATGTCAGCTGAAAGTAGCTGACGAGCGAGAAAATGGCTGTAATGATGGCGCACTTAACAGACACTTTGTCTTCCGGCCTGCAGAACAAGCCCGTCACCACAGAATGTAAACAGACACTGCGCCTGTGAAAACCTTGTTATTTATACATCCTGATGTGGGGTCAGCGCTTCAGGTTACAGCCTCGCAGACAAAAATAGTGCCCTCTGCCCATGTGCACGCTGTCCTCGCTGTGACAGGGCTGCACTTCCTAAACACCCACTCACTCACTAACTGCAACAACAAGTGCAGCCACGTCTCAGCCGTGACAGGCAGGTCATCAGGATGCAAACGCTCCTCACTGTACAACACAACACTGACGCGCTCCTTCAACCGCCGACATGTGAATTGCGTCCAATCTCATAAAAAGAGGATTACATGTCAGATTAAACCCGAGCCTCTGGTTACATCAGCGCTTTTCAGCTTGAATCATATTTTTTCCCTCTCCTCTGACACAAACACAAACACGCACAGTGTGGACGGCTTATGCCGTAATCAGTCTGTGCATCCAAACTGCATGCCCCGAGTTTGTTTGGTGATGCAGATTTGGCAGCTTCTGGCCTTCGGTTTCGCCCTCATGTCTACTTTGGCACATAAACGTGACACTTTAATCTCTGAGAGGTACAATACAGCTTAAAGCGGCTATTATAGTAGCACATAAAATTGTCAAAGTAGTCACGGAAATAAAACAGCAAGTGCAAAAACTGCTGCTTCTAACTCAGTGAGAGAAAGTGGATTTCCTCAAGAATGAAAGTGAAAGTTTGGCCCATTTAATGCTTTATTCTCTGTTAG